GGGGGTCGGGTTTCCCGTAGGTTTCGCTCCCGACCAAGGTTTAAGCTTGCAACAGATTGTTTAAACTGGGATTAAAGCGAAGGAGATGAAAAGGATGGAGAGGAGGAGGAGGAGGAGGGGGCAGTGAATAATATGGGGAACCCCGAGAGACTTACTTCTGAAGCCCGTTCAGAAAAGGCAGGATTTGGGATCCAGCTTTTGGGAAAGGGCAAATTCCCTAATAAAAAGAGCCTTCTGGGAAGAGTTGTGTAGTAACCGTGGGGTGGGGGGGAGAAAATGCCAATATTATTACAAGCAGAGTCCCTGACTTAAATTCCATAATCCTGTCTTGATTTGACTATCCCAGTTAAGGCCTGAAAGCCTGAGAAAAGGCTAGCTTTCTTTCCTTCCTTCCTTCCTTCCTTCCTTCCTTCCTTCCTTCCTTCCTTCCTTCCTTCCTTCCCATCCAATTCTTCCTTCAATTCTCCCTTCCTATTTTCCTCCCTCCCTTCCTTCCTTTCTTTCTTCCTCCCTTCCTTTCTTCCTTGCTTCTTTCTCCTCCAATTTTCTTCCCTCTTTCCCTCTTTTCCTTCCTTCCTTCCTTCCTTCCTTCCCATCCAATTCTCCTTCCTTCAATTCTCCCTTCCTATTTTCCTCCCTCCCTTTCTTTCTTTCTTTCTTTCTTCCTCCCTTCCTTTCTTCCTTGCTTCTTTCTCCTCCAATTTTCCTCCCTCCCTGCCTCCCTCCCTATTTTCCTTCCTTCCCTCCTTCTTTCCTTCCTCCCTTCTCACTTTTTCCTTCCTTTCCTTCCTTCTTTCTTTCTTTCACTTTTTCTTTCCTTCTCTTTCACCCTTTCCTTTCCTCCCCTCCCTTCCTCTCCCCTTCCACCACCCACCCACCCACCCACCCTTCCTTCCTTTTCTTTTTTCTTTCTTTCCTTCTTTCCCCTCTCTCTCTCCCCTGCCCTTTCACCTTCCAAAATCCATCCTACGCTGACCTCACCCTTGCAAAACCCTGTTGTTTTTCTTCTTACATAGCCCTCCATTCTCAAAACTCACCAAAGGGGGGGGGAGAATCCATGTAGGCCAGGAGTTAATTCCCCCCCCATTTGGAGGCAAACTGCCCCCCCCCAATCCCAACGCAACACCTGGCTTGCTTGCCGTGTTGATGTTTTGCTGTAGAGCTACTTTGAAATCTCCCCACAAATTACGGGGGGCAGAAATGAGACACGGGTGGAGGCAGGTTCACGCATGTTGAGCCGTGTTCTCCCGAATGCATGTAGTTACCTGTCTCGGCACACGAATTTCTCCGCAAGGGAGAAAGACAAAACGGGTGTCGCTTTTTGTGTAAACAGCCCTCCTGTCTCAAGCCGGGCCTCCCTCCGCTCCATAAAATATTAAGAGCCACTGCTTTTCTCCCTTTTAATCCCCAATCCTCGATTTACGACACTTCCATTTAGCGACTCTTTTACCATGGCACTGTAAAAAGGACCGTTTTTCACACTTGCGACCATCGTCACGTGATCAAAATTCAGAGGCTTGGCAACTGACTCGTACTTTCGACAGTCGCAGAGACCGGACAGCCCTTTGTCTGAAATGGTTGTAGGGTTTCCTGCCTGAGCAGGGGGTTGGACTAGATGACCTCCAAGGTCCCTTCCAACTTTATTATTATCATTATCATTATCCCCACGGTCACGTGATCAAAATTCAGCCTCTTGGCAACTGACTCCTACTTAGGAGGGTTGCAACGTCCCGGCGTCACGCGATTCCCCCTTTTTTTTGCGTCCTTCTGACCCAGTGAAGTCAGATTCATTTAACGACCTGGTTACTAACTGAACAACTGCAGGGGTTCACTTCACAAGTGTAGCCAGAAAGGTCGTAAAAAGGGGCAAAACTCACTTAGCCAGAGAAATCTGGGCGGTCCATTGTGCAGCCCGCCTTAATTTCAATCCAAAAATGAATTTCTTTGCATGCCGAATTAGGGATGTTCAATCTAGGCTCTTTTTATTTAGAACAATTAACCAGTGGAACAACCTGCCTCCAGAAGCGGTGAATGCTTCAACACTGGAGGTTTTTAAGAAGAGAATGGACGGCCATTTGTCTGAAATGGGATAGGGTTTCCTGCCTGAGCAGAGGGTTGGACTAGATGACCTCCAAGTTCCCTTCCAACTTTATTATTATTATTATTATTATTATTATTATTATTATTATTATTATTATTATTATTATTATTATTATTATGGATCATCGCACAGCCAGCCAGATGTTCAGGCTGGATTTGGCATTTTTGTCTACCTATCGAGTCCTTCCCAAGGACCTGGGATAGGCAGATGTGGATGTTTGATGGTATTACAGATCTCGTTGCAGGATGAAAGCAGTGCCTAGTAAGGCTGCCTTTTGCAATTGACTAATGGTGAATTTGTCAATGCCGATGATGGTGTCCAAGTGGTGCTCCAGTTGTTTTCGGATTGCACCCAAGGCGCCTATGACTATTGGTACTACCCTTGCTTGCCTTTGCCACAGTCTTTCTATTATTATTATTATTATTATTATTATTATTATTATTGTTGTTGTTGTTGTTGTTGTTGTTGTTGTTGTTGTTGTTATTATTATTTGACCAGGGCAACTTTATTCTCTGTTTCCTAAAGACGCGTCTTCGCTTGCTGTCCAAACCCACCGGGTGCCACGTGAGAACGTGGCCCGTGGATCATTCCGTATGGATTTTCCTATTGTGTTGCTCGAGGTTAGTCCCTGCCGAAGTTCAACAGCCATCCTCAGTCCCTTAATGTGACATATATATACCTAATTATGCACAGCTAATTAGTGATATTTTACAAAGCTCTAACCTCCACGAATTTTTCAAAACCCCGGCTTTATTTTTTTTTCCACCGGCATTAAATTCTTTATTCTTTTTTTTTTCTTCTTCTTCTCCTTTTCTCTCTTGGGTGGCTTATCTGGCTCCTTCCAAGTGTTCAATTAAAAAGAATATATTAAGAAGGCAGAGGACAATTGAGGATGCCTGATGGGCTAATTTTGAAAATGATCACCGAGTTCACTTCTGGCATAATTAATTGCAGACTCGGCCTCTCTAAAATTCTGGGCCCGTTTTATTCTTTAATTTAAGGTTTATGATTTCTATTTTGCCCGGTTTTGTTACTTATATTGGATGTTATTATTTATATTTCCTTTTGTTACTGACACTTTATTTGATTACAGCCCAGTCCTCAACTTACGACCACAATAATAATATTCTATTCTATTCTATTCTGTATTTCTATTCTATTCTATATTTCTATTCTATTCTATTCTATTCTATTCTGTATTTCTATTCTATTCTATTCTATATTTCTATTCTATTCTATTCTATTCTATTCTATTCTATTCTATTCTATTCTATTCTATTCTATTCTATTCTGTATTTCTATCCTATCCTACTAAGTGAACTATTATAGGACTATCTGTACTTATATTTTATTTCAGTTTATTTCACTTTGTTTTATTCTTATATCTTAGCCTGCTTTCAAATGATTCTGAAGGGTTACAGGGTGAGGATTCCTTCTAGTTTTTTTCTTTATTATTATTTTATTTGTTTGAGAGGTGTGTTAGGAGCCGGCCAATTGTTTTCTTGTCTGTCTTTCTATAAACATCTCCAAGTGGCTTCTGCTTGCAGGCTCTTATCAGCAAGAAAGTTTGTGTGTGTTTGTGGAATTTGTGGCTAGAAAGCGATACATTTGTGCTATATATATTTTTTTCCTGTTTTGTTTTGTTTGGAAAACTCTCCCTTTATTATTTTTTCTTTTATCTGTCTGGAGGAGAGATTCTAGGCCAATCACAATCACCAAAGGCAACAAGATAAAACATGAAAAAAAAGAAATGAATATTAATGCTAAAATTGAGACTAGTGCTCTCCTGCTCAACTCCTATTAGGGCTGGTGGAGATGGGCATTGTAGTCCGGCACATTCCCCGAAGTTGGGGGACATTGCATACAAAATAACAGGGTGGCAAAGGGATCTGGGAGGTCATCTAGTCCAACCCCTCTGCTCAAGCAGGAGACCCTATACTATCCCGTTCGGGACAAATGGCTCTGCACTCTTTTCTTAAAAGCCTCCAGCGATGGAGCCCCCACAGCTTCCGAAGGAGGTGGGCGATCCCGTCTCTGGGTCTGCCTTTTTGACTTGGGAAGGGGCACCCAGAGGTCTTCTAGTAGTCCAACCCCCCCTGCTCCAGCAGGAGACCCTACCTACCCCATTTCAGACCAACGGCTGTGCAACCTCTTCTTAAAAAGCCTCCAGTGGTGGAGCACCCACCACTTCTGAAGGAGGGCGGCGGGGGGGGGGGAGGACGTTCCTGCCGCTGGGTCTGCCTTTCCCACTTTGGGGCACCCAGAGATCCTCTAGTCTAGCCCAACCCTCCTCTCCTGGAAAGATGCATTGGGAGGGAAAGGGAGGGAAAGGGAGGGGGCTGACTTGTTTGGCAACTGCTGTCTAGGTCCACCGAGACGGGGTGGGAGTGTGGGGGGGGGGGAGAGCTAAAAGTCTGGCGCTCGCCCCAGGCAAGGCGTGAAGCCGCGGCGGCCGCTTGGGGTCAGCCGGCGCTCTTCCCCCTCTCTCTCGCTCCCTCCCGGCTGCCTCCCGCCTCTCTTCCCCGGCCCAGCAGGGGCGGCACCTCCGCCCAGTACTTAAACCGCGGCTGGGGCTGCTTGCTCGGCTTAGGAGAGGCAGCCAGCGCGGCACGGAGCAAAAGGCGGAGCGCCCCAGGGGGAAGCTGGTACGCGCCGTCGGAGAAGGCGAAAAGAAAGCAGGAAAGAAAGAAAGAAAGAAAGAAAGAAAGAAAGAAAGAAAGAAAGAAAGAAAGAAAGCAAAGAACGAAGCAAGCAAGCAAAAAAGAAGGAAGGAAGGAAGGAAAGAAAGAAAGAAAGAAAGAAGGAAGGAAGGAAGGAAGGAAGGAAAGAAAGAAAGAAAGGAAGGAAGGAAGGAAGGAAGGAAGGAAGGAAGGAAGGAGGCAAAGAAGGAAAGGAAAGGAGGGTCGAGACTGCGGGCCGATGGGTCTCCCGTGGTGGACCCCCCTGCTCGGTCTCTGGTGCGCCCTGTGCCTGGCGTCTGGACAGAGGCACACGGTCTTCTGGAACAGCACCAACCCCAAGTGAGTTCGCGTCTCGGGGCGCTGGGAAAGACGGGGAGGGGGCGCAGGGCAGGCAGGCAGCCTCTCGGCTCGGAAGAACAGACCCCCCACCCCCACGCCTTCCAAGCCGTCGATTTGGGCCGGGTCGAGCCTGGCCCAGGGCTAGGCGCCCTCCAGGCGGGCTCCTGCGCGGATGGAGAGGCGCGCGGCGGCGGGGGGGGGGAGACCCCCTTTCTCTCTCTCTCTCTCTCCCCCCTCCCCGATGGGGGAAACGGTGGGCTCTCCGGTTTCAGCGGAGGCCCCCTCTGGCTGGCCCGCGCGGCCACCCACCCAGCTGGCTTCCAGACCCCCCTATCCCACCCTACCCCGCCCCCGCCCCCAAAAGAGGGATTTGGATGGCTGGCAAAATGCGCTTCGCTGCGTTTGGTTTCCTGAAGCGAGCCCACCTCCTCAATTAGACGGGCCAGCCTTTGGAGCTGGAAGAAGAGGAGTTTCTCCCACCCCCCCACCCCCCCAAGGCCACCACCCGACCCCCATCCCTACCCACCCACCCGGTGCCCACTTCCAGCGTCAAACGCGTCCAGATCTGTGCGTTCCCTCTCCTTGTTTTCTTCCAAACATCCCAAGTGGCACCCCCCCACCCTAAACCGGGCCCTTTAAATCTGGGGGCCGGCTCCGAACCTCGCCAGCCGTGTCCGCCTGCAAAATTGCACCTTTGCGCAACCCCCTTTCTGCTGATCTCTCCCCCCACCCCAACCCACCACCACCCCTGCTTCTCTCTCTCTCTCTGCTCTCTAGCATTTTGTTGCTGAGAGCTAGACCCCCACCAAACCTTGATTGACAGCTGGGTCTCCCTCCTGAGCAGGAGAAGTCAACTTCGTTGGGGAGGGGGGGGAAAGACTCAGAGAAAGAGGTCGGTTACGCGCCCCCCCCCCCGTCTCCACCTTGACAGGAGGGGATGGAAGTGGAGAGAGCTGAGAATTTGTAAACATCCAGTGTGTAGGCCTTTCTTGGCAGCCAGCCCGTACCTGGGCATAGTCACAAGGGCGTGAATCAGGAGGAGGAGGAGGAGGCAGCCTTGCTAGGAAAGAGGAGGCAGTGCCAGTTGTAACTATTCTTATTATTATTGTTATTAATGAAGGAGAATATTTGTAGCAGGGTTGAAATAAGTCCTTGGTGCTCTTTGAGCTTCTCCTCTTTCTTTCTCTTTCTCCCTCTCCTTCTCTTTCTCCATCTCCTCTTTCTCCTTCTCCTTCTCCTTCTCCCTCTTTCTTTCTCCATCTCCTTTTTCTTCTACCTCTCCTTCTCTTTCTTTCTCTTTCTCCTTCTCCTCCTTCTCCCTCTCCTTTTTTCTCCTTCTTCTCCTTCTCTTTCTCCTTCTCCTTCTCTTTCTCCATCTTCTCCTTCTCCGTCTCCTTCTCCTCTTTCTCTTTCTCCTTCTCTCTCTTCCTCTCCTTCTCCTCCTCCTTCTTCCTATTAATAATAATAATAATTAAATTTAGGGTAGAGTAGTTAGGGTAATGGAACGTCTGCAAGAAAACAAGCTCAGAGAGCACCAAGGACATCATCATCATCATCATATCATTATCATCATTATTATTACTATTATTATTACTATTATTATTATTACTATTATTATTATTACTATTATTATTATTATTATTATTATTATTATTATTAGCCTATCTCACCACAGAGCTCTTCTAGGTGGCTCTTAATGTCAGCTACCCCTCGCTGCGTCTCCTCGCAGATCTTAGCAACAACGGGTGCCGTCGTTTGCCAGCCTGAAAAATTACCCTTAAAACATCCTCTTTAAGCCAGGCTAAGGTGATCAGAAACCTCCTTTCTAACCAGCTCCGCCCAAGGGTTTTGTTTTGAACGTGGCTTGCCAGTCCGGAATGACTTTCAAGTGGCGGGGAGTTCCGACGGCTATCTTTCTCCTCCCGGGGGTTATTCTGTGGGCCTTGAGTCCCGCCGCGTCGGCGACGGTCTGCGAATCTGCCTTGAAGCAAGGCGGGGTGTTCCTGCTCCTGGGGGAGGGGGGAGACAAAATGAGAGTTTGGACTGGGTTTAAAAGTTGGGGTGTAAGGACCGTGGGGATGGGGCTTGGGGAGGGGGGAATCGAGGCAGAAGGAAGAAAGAGAGAGGATCTTGTGGTCCTGTGGGTCGGACGGTGATCGTTTGGGGATGCCTCTGGCGCCCGTGGGGTTAATCTCATCTGGAGGATTGTTTTGCACAGATTGTCTGGCTTTGCAGAGGGGGCAGCTGCGTCCTGTTGTGAAAGCCTCAAGGCTGGGGGCTCTCCAGGTGGTCTTCTTTCCCTCCCCCCCCCTCCTCCCCAGCTTATGCCTCTCCCGATTCCCTGATCATGTTTTGCAACCAGCCAGAACCAACGTGGTTTTTGTTGTTGTTATTATTGCTTTTCCTCCCCATTTTTTCCTTCTTTCCCTCGGGCTGAAATTCTAAGCAGGCTGTCCAGATGTCGGGACTACACCTCCCCTGCTCCTTTGCCACAGGGGAAGAAAGGAAAGTGAAGGGGCTGGGTTATTTATTTATCTATCCAATTTATTTGCCACTCATCATTTGGCCGACACTGGAATAATCAAGGAGCTACCGGTTCTAAATCCTCCTCGGCTCCAGAAACGGACATGGCGATTTGTAGCTAGCCTACCTGTAAGGGTTGTTGTGTGTGGGGGGGATGCGGTAGAGGGAACAATTAATAGAAGAACAGACTTGGAAGGGACCTTGGAGGTCTTCTAGTCCAACCCACTGCTTAGGCAGGAAACCCTATCCCATTTCAGACTCGTGGCTGTCCAGTCTCTTCTTAAAAACCACAATCAATGGAGCAGCCACAACTTCTGGTGGCAAGCAGTTCCACTGGTTGATTGTTCTCACTGTTAGGAAATTTCTCCTTAATTCCAGATTTGCTTCTCTCCTTGATTAGTTTCCATCCGTTGCTTCTTGTCCTGCCTGCAAAGTGCTTTGGAGAAGAGGTGGAACCCCCCACCCCCTCTGTTATTCCAGCTCTGTTATTCTGTATTCTGAGCAGGGGGTTGGACTAGAGGACCTCCAAGGCCCTCGTGATTCCTTTGTTCTCACGATGCGGCTTCCACAGAGACCTTCTTCTGCTCTGCGAATCAAGCAAGGGAGAAAATTAACTCCGAGATGTGACTGCGGAGATGGAGCCTCCGCTCGCAGGAGCAGTCTACCTCTTTGACAGAGGTCAGAAAATCCCCCTCCCCCAAGAGCTCGCTCAGAGGCCTCTCTAGAAGCCCCTCACTCTGGGAACAATTTTATTTCTTTTTATTTATTTATTATTTAAATTTATATACCGCCCTATCTCCCTTACGGGACTCAGGGCGGTGAACAGGCAATAATAAAAATCACAATAAATATTGAATAAAAAGCCTGCTCTAAAATACCCCATATAAAACCCCTAGCAAAGCCCAATCAAAACTACGCCAATGTTGACTCTTTTCCCCCCCCCCTCCCTCCCAAATCTTGCAAGGCCAAAAAAAAACAAAAAAAGGACCTGCACTCTGCATGCGCTCAGAAGCCCTCTTGCTTTTTCTGTGTCTCAGCTTTGGAAAGACACCTCCCCCTCAGGGCAAAAATGAGGAGGGTCTCTCGCCTTTGTAGAGGGGTTGCACCATCAGGTCATCCCCTCCCTTTAAAAAAAAAAGAAAAAAAAAGGCTGGACTTTTGATCAACATTGCAGAAGTTCAACCAGGTGGAAAATCTTTGGCACGACCAGGCGCTGGGGGAAAGTTAGTAGGGGGAGAAGCCCAGGCCGGTCAGCCAAGTCTTCTTTTCCCAGGGCAGGCGCCCTGCTGGCCTCGGGCCTCTTCCTTCCCGCCAGCCCTGGACAGCGGCCAAGGGACGGCGCCAGGGTTATCCGGGGCAGGAAGCCTGGCTGTTTTTCGGGGACAAACATCTTGCAGAGTTTGAGACAGAAGAGTTGTTTTGTCAAAGCGCCTGCCGATGACAACTCCGGGAAAAAAACAGAGGGAGGGGCTGTGTTTTTTTAGGATTGGCAGTGGGGGGGGGAAGAGAAAACAACCAAGGTGGTTATTGTGGGCGATTCGAATCCGGCCCCGGGCGAGGCCAAGCGAGATGTGGGGAGACATTCAACTCTGATTTGAGTTTCTTCTTGTTTGCAGCCAGCCGTGGGATCCCGGTTTAATTTCCACAGCCCACCGTCGTCGTCGTATCTCAGGGCAGCCCCCCTCCCCCTAATTTCAGACCTGGGGTGATTGGCACCCCTCTTGCCCGCTTCACTCCTGCATCCCCCTTTTTCTGACCCCCCTCCCCAAATGCCATCTCCTAAGTTCAACCCGCCTTTCTTTCTTCATGCCAAGAACACTTTTTCCAGATGTTTGGAACAAAAGAAGCCGGGGGAACATCTGAAGAACATCTGGAGGGCGCCCCATTGCCTGTCCCGGGGACTGGGGATCATTTATTTTTTTCATGGGTGGTTCAGGCAACACACACACACAGACACACACACACACACACACAGAGCCCTTCCAGCTTAGTTAAAAATTCTCATTTTTTGCTGTGTTCGCTTTTCGGTGTCTCCAAAGTTACGTGTGTATATATACATATTTTTCTCCCCGTCCAACTTAGCCAGATGTGTTCCAGGGGGTTTGCCCACCGTCCTGGGTGATCTTTGCAAACGGGTCAGATCCTGGGTGGTGTGAACCCCCCCCAGGGCAGGGAGGGAGGCAGGCTGGGTGGGTGGGTGGGAAGGGAGAGCCTTCTCAACCCATCTCTCTCTCTCTCTCTCTCTCTCTCTCTCTCTCTCTCTCTCTCTCTCTCTCTCTCTCTCTCTCTCCCCCCCCCCCCTTTGGAGGCAAGGATGCTAAAAGTTGGTTTATTGCTCCACCGAGGATCTGCCGCCCTGGCGGGGTTGTCAAACCGGTTTGGGAGAAGCCTTAGTTTGTTCCTTCATTCCCAGATGTGTGTGGGGAAGCGGATAAACCTTTAATAACTAATTTCACCCTTTGGAATGTGGTTTCTCCAGAGACCGGGATAGGCTCGCTTAAAAGAGGGCTATCGTTTTTTTCCAGGAGGGGGGCAGAACAAACCAGCATTCCCCCCCTCCCCCACAAGATGAATGTCCTGCCTCTTCTTTGTTAGGACAACAGAAACCACGTTATCCCGTTTTTTAATCCTTGCAAGGAATCCTCCCGCAGAGTTTTTGCTTACGGGGCGCGTCTGCAATTACCAGCCGGATTTTCTTTGCTAAGCAAGGCGCTTGGTTCAGCGTTCAAGGCGCCCCGGTTTTACCACCTTTTCGCCAGGGTCGTTAAGCGAATCGCTGCAGGTGGGGAGGGAACCAGGTGGTCGTTAAACGCATCTGGATTTTCCCGTATGGACTTGGCTTGTCGGAAGCCGGAGAGATTGTTAATTGTCCAGAGGACAATTAACCAGTGGAACAGCTTGCCACCAGAAATCGTGGGCGCTCCATCACTGGAGGTTTTTAAGAAGAGGCCACCTAGACAGTCACTTGTCTGAGATGCTGTAAGTTCTCCTGCTTGAGCAGGGGGCTGGACTAGAAGACCTCCAAGGTCCCTTCCAGCTCTATTCTATCCTATCCTATCCTATCCTATTCTATTCTTATTTTCTGTTCTAGTCATTTCTCTATTCTATTCTATTCTATTCTGCGAGCACGTGATCCCAAGATTTGGCAACCGACATAAAATCCATGCCACTTGCCAAGTGCTTGAACTTTTCACATGACCCTGGGGATTCTGTGACAGTTGTAAGTATGAGGACTTGTCCTAAATCGCTTTTTTCCAGGACTGTTGCCACCTCAGTCGCTAAACGAACAGTCGTTAAATTGACGATGAGCCGTCTTCTTCATTTTGACCAATTGCAAGCCCGTCTGGCAGGCAAAACAGCAAATGCTGAATCTCCAAAACAAAAAATATATGAGGAATAATCGGTGTAAAAATGGCGAGACCATAAAAGTGTGTAAAAATACGGTGTCTGGCTGTGATCAAAATCGAAAAAGAAATATTTGCAGAGTCAGATCAAAGGCTGCTGACTCTTGCAAGCATTATGTGGCGATATATTTGTTGTTGTTTTTAAAAATAGATTAAATGGAAGTATAGCAATTGTGCATTCCTTCACAGAAGGGGTATGTGTCAAAATGCAGATTATGTCACTTCTTTCCCCCCCATTGTCACCCGTAAAAAGTCAAGGACCTTAAAAAGAGCCACAGAAGGTAATTTTTTGCATGCAATGGGATTTACTCCATGCATTCCCCATTTACATGTTGTTAATAATAATAATAATAATAATAATAATAATAATAATAATAATAATAATAATAATAATATCGTTCGAAGGGACCTTCGAGGTCATCTAGTCCAACCCCCTGCTCAGGAAGGAAACCCTATCCCATTTCAGACAAATGGCTGTCCAATCTCTTCTTAAAAACTTCCAGTGTTGGAGCATTAAAAAAAATGACAATAAAAGATTATCTTATCTTATTCACAATTTCTGGAGGCAGGTTGTTCCACTGGTTAATTGTTCTAACTCTTCTGACCTTGTTTAATGACCGTTTACAACGGCACTGAAAAAGCAACTTAGGGTTGTTTTCCACACTTACGACTGTGTGCAGCATCCCCATGGTTCACATTATCACAATTCGGACCCTTGGCCAGTGACTCGTATTTACGACGGTCGCGGGGTCCCGGGGTCCTTATGTATTGAAATTGATTGTAAGTAAGCTCGGCGACCCAGCTAGCCTAGGGAACTCACCTTGACTGGGGCTGATAGGAACTGGAGTTATTCCACAAAGTTTGGAAGGCCTTTGTTGATTACGGTGTGATGGTTAACGTCAGCAATTCCGAGACACGCTCGATTAAAAGAAAAGAGTATTTAATTTCCATTTATTGGATTTGCAAAGGCACCCGATTGAAAACGACATGATTAAAAAGAGATTTAAAAAACCAGCAAGGAAGAGGAGATGGTAAAGCCAAGGAATGTATTTAAACAGCCAAACAAATTTCCAGGGAATTGAAGATATGCCTAGCAAATCTGGGAAAAAACCACCCCCGCTGAACGGAGAATAAAACTGGATTTGAAATAATCCAACCTCAGGAAGAATACCTTATCGTTTAATTGTTAAATTGATTGACAGGCCTCTTCCTTGTTATTTAGCTAATGGTGGCCCTTAAGATGCTCTTGGTCAGCCTGTATAGAAATAATCCTTGATTTATGGCTACATTTAAGCCAGGCAGTCGTTATCGTTATTATACAAATCACTGCAGCCATATAAAGGATTCACAGGGTGGTTAAGCAAATCTATCTTTTCTATCTTGACTCTAGATTCCCTAAAAGCAATCCATTCCTTGCAGTGCCTACCTTGCAGGGTTCTTGGTAAGGAGGATTAAGAAGACACCGAACGAAGTTTGAAAAAGTCTGGAAGTTTTTAAGCCTTCTTTTTTTATATCGGTTTCAGATTTCAGAGGGAAGATTACACCGTCGAGGTGCGTCTGAACGAATATTTGGATATCATCTGTCCGCACTACGAGGATAACAGCGTCCCCGCCCATTCTATGGAGCGCTACACCTTGTACCTGGTCGAACGAGAGGAGTACGACACGTGCAAACCACGGTCTAAGGATCAGGTCCGCTGGCAATGCAACCGGCCGGATGCCCTGCACGGTCCGGAGCGGCTTTCCGAGAAATTCCAGCGTTTCACACCGTTCACCCTCGGCAAAGAATTCAGGGAGGGCCACGAATATTATTACATCTGTAAGTCTGCTTTTCGGAGAAACGCATAGGCTGTTCTTAAAAAAACCTCCAGTGGTGAAGGAAGGAAGGAAGGAAGGAAGGAAGGAAGGAAGGAAGGAAGGAAGGAAGGAAGGGGAAAAAAAGAATAACAGAATCACAGAATTGGAAGGGACCTTGGAGGTCTTCTAGTCCAACCCCTGCTCAAGCAGGAGACCCTATACCATTTCAGACAAATGGCCGTCCAATCTCTTCTTGAAAACCTCCACAACTTCTGGTGGCAAGTTGTTCCACTGGTTAAATTTGGCTCCAAAACTACAGCCGTTTAAAAATATGAATGCTCTGCAAATTTTTCTTGAACACTCAAGGCTAGAAAAGGGCGTATCTTTATCCTTTGCTCTTCCAATTTTCTGTTTTCTCTGATGCTCGCCAGCATTTTTAATAGTTTTCCTCTCTTTTTTTCTCTTGGTTAGCAAAATCGATTCATCGGCACCGAGATTCCTGTCTTAAATTGAAGGTGAAGGTGCTTGGGAAGAAAAGTAAGTATTTTAGCGTTTAAATACTTAATTGCTTTTCCAATTCTTGTTGTCTCAAACCACCAGGATTACTTCCAAAGAATATTTGTAGGATGTCGCCACAGTTACGTCTTTGCGCCGTTTCATGGTTCAGACTTACCGCCCATCTTCTCTTCAGCCACTCAGGGTGGGGCCTTCAGGTGGACTTTTTTTTAATGGTGCCTCATTTAGCGACCACTCAGAGTTACGACAGTGATGAAAAAGTAATTTGACCTCCCGTCCCGGCCTTCACAGCTTTTGTGGGTCTGTGAAGTGAAGCAAAGCTGATTGCAAAATGAATATTTCACTTAGGGACTGCTTCGCTGAACAGTTGCCGGTCCCCATTATGGTCGCTAAATGGGGACAACTTGAAGGGTGCTCCAGATTCCATGTTACTAACTTAACCACCCCAGGAATTCAAGTAACACAACTGTGGCAGGAAAGGCCATCAAACGAGGCAAAACTCCCTGAACAAATGTTTCACTTAGTAACGTAAATTTTGGGCTCGATTGTGGTCGTAAGTTGAGGACTACCTGTAAAGCCCACCTGGAGAAAAAGAGAGAGAAGGATGTGAGGTTGAAACTGGAATTAGAAGGGGGTCTCAGGATTCAGCATACCCTGGTTTTGGGGGTGTCTGAACTTAACAGTGTTCTTTCTTCCGTTGTAGCTCAGATACCACCCGGTCATGTCCCCACGCAGAAGGGACCGCTTCAATCAGGTAGGTCCAGAAATGGAATTCTGGGAAATTGTGGGGCTGGGGGTGTCCTTACCCCATGGCTAAATCATTAGAAATCCATGGGGTCCTTACGAGACACGGGTGACCCTCTTCCGCGCAGGATGAGACAAACACCCCCCCTTATTTCTTTACTCGCTGATCTCCGCAGACGATCCGGACGCCCCGATGTTGCGCAGCGTGGGATACAATTCCGCCCCCCGGCTTGGCAGCCCCCTGCCCTTCATCAGCCTCTTGCTGCTGGTCTTCATCTTTCGGGGGCCCTGAAGGGAATCTCGGACCCCGACTGAACCCCCCAGATTGAGCCAGGCAGGGTGGACTCCGACGAGGGTCCACGCGGCGAGCGAAACAGCACCATGGGTCTTCACTATGATCAAGCTCGAAACCGTTGGTAGCACGAGGTGTGAGGAGGCGCGGCACGCGTCGTAGGCATGGGAAAGACGGCGTGCAAATCCGCTCGCCTGTTCTCGAGAAAGATCTCGTTGGACTCCCGGTGAGGAGAAAGCGACGCAGCGAGCTGACGACATGTCCTCCGCAGGTCGGAGACGTGTCCCCCGCGAGTCAGAGATGCCCAGGATCCTGCCAAAGTTTGATGGACTTTGTTGGACTTTTCAAGCAAACTTTATTGGGACTTTTTGAGCAAACTTCGCTGGGACTTTTCGAGCAAGGTATATAGACACAAGCTGCTTCCAAAATCACCCAGTCCCCTCTGGACCTACAAGATCATGTGAATAATTTAACAGACTTAAAAAAACAGGCAGGACCTGAATTTGGGGAGGATCACCGCCCTTTTATCTTCCCTTCATGGAACTTTTGTCTTCACAATCCGGACGGAAAGGCTGTGTCCAAAGGATAGAGATTCAAGAACTCGGATGCACTATTTATTAGAACGAAAGGTGAAGGCGACGAGCCCAAGGATCGCAATTTCAAAAGAAGCTTGGAAAAAGAGTGGAACTCTCGAGAAAAAGGGGAAAATTTATTTTCTGTTATGCTTTTTATTGCGGGATATTTTTTTTATTTGTAAAAAAAAAAAAGAAAAGAATAAATGACGCCAAATAAGCTGGCTGTGGTTCAACTGGGCGACCTCGTTTTTGTGAAAGGAAAGGGCGGAGCGTGGGGGATCAGTGGGTGGGGCCTAAAGCAAGGGGCGGAGCCCGGCGGCAGAGGCGAAATGATAGTTTTTCTTGCTGGAACGATTCTGTAAATGGAATTTACAAAGTACAAAGGCTAAAAATCTTCCTTGCAAATTGTTTTGCTTTGATTCGGATCCCAACTATTATATTTCCTGCCTTAAGGGGCCCAGGTGAAGATTTGAGGCCAACCTTTGAAGCCTGATGTTATTATGGTCTGTTAAAATGTCTGGAGTGATTTGTTTCGGGGATATTGGGGGAGCCAGATGGCCCAACGCGTGGGTTGCCGTTTGCCAAGATTTTTCAAAGCTCCTTTGATGCATTTTTAACGATGCTTTAAATCACCTTTTCACCTGGTTTTCTCCCTGGCTGATAAACTACGGTTCTTATTTCACAAAAGAACATAAATAAAAGGAGGGGAAGCATGATTGGAAAACAAATAAAAATAAAATAAAAGCAGGCGTCCACCGGTTTGCAGTCCTGAAGTCAAAATCCACACCCTTGCAGAATTTAGGGAGGCGTGCGCCAGTGCCATCAGGGCAAAACAGGTTTCTAGTCCTCAAGAATGCGACACTTTTAACGTTTTTCTGTCGTAAGCCGCTCAGAGTCAGTGGCTTTGGAACGAGACCAGCGGCAAATAAATGTCGTCATAATAAATAAATAAGCTCCGCCATTCTCGGCCCAACGGCTTGGGTAGGGCCAAACATTATTTTATGTTATTTGTTTAAAAAAATATATTGTGTTTTTTTTTTAATTGCAATATTGTGCCTCAATCCTGGAGGGCGAAAGGACCGCGACTGGAGTCATGCGTGCTCTTTAGCCCGCTGCAGAATCTGGATTTGGCAGGTTGCAAAGCCGATGTAATCTTGTGTTTGCTGAAGCCCGTGCAAACAATCCGTGGTTTGCTTAAGGGCAAGCCACGTTGTTTGGGGCGGAGATACTGTATATATAAGTGAACTCGGCTTTCCGCACTCACTTTGCTTGTTGGAAGATCGCCAAAGGGGATCATGTGATCGTGGGACAGCGCAGCCGTCATAACAACACAAACACACAAAAACGAAGTGTATTTAAATATAGGTAGTCCTCGGTTTGCGATGTCTCATTTAGTGACGGTTTTACAATGGCTGTTAAAAACTGATTGACAAGCGTTTTTCATACTTACGACCGTTGCAGCATCACGGGATCAAAATTCAGACGCTTGACAGCTGATTCATATTTATGACGGGCGTAGTATCCTGGGCTCACGCGGTTTACCTTCGGATGCTTGACAACTGACTCACATTTACGACTGTTGCAGCATCCCCGGATCAGGTGACCCCCCTTTGGCGACCTCTTGGCAGGCAAAGTCAATGGGAAAGCCTGGTTCACTTCACAACCTTGTGAAGTGAACAAGATACTCCCTCAACAACTGACTCGCTTAGCGACGGACGTTCGGGGTCAATTGTGGCCGTAAGTCAAGGACTTCCCCGTATATGAATTACACCTGGCTGAATTTTGATCCCAGGACCGTGGGGATGCTACGCCGGTCATAAGTGTGACGAAGGCTCCTAAGTCCCTTTTTTACAGGGCCCTCGTAAAACAGTCACGAAAAGAGGCGTCGTAAGCCGAGGACTGCCTATAGCAGTCGTGAGCCATTATTTCAACCTGGCCCGCCACAGAAAGGGAGAGGCTGGTAAATCAGAGAGGCAGTTAATCACCTTTAAGCCTTGTTTTGAGAAAAGGCATCTGTCTGTGCCAGCTAAGCTGATGGAGAGAAAGGGAAAATTTGTCGAAAGAGGAATGACATCACGGTCGGCCAAAAAATTAAAATAAAATGCGCTGGATGTTTGAAGGACTCTTGCAACAATGGAGATTCTTTTAAATTTCTTCTTTGTGTGTGTGATGGCTTTCTTTCTTTTTGTAAAACAAAATTCAGGATTGTGTGTGTGTGTGTGTGTGTGTGTGTGATGGCTTTGTGGTTGAATTCTGGAGAATTTATTCCACGGTGGCAGGACAGCCGCACTAACTGGGTTGTCCTGACTTGTCGGGCTGAGTGTGTGGTGCGTCCCTGCGTATTTCGCCTTTCCTTTCCTTTCCTTTTTTTAAAACAAAAATCAGGATTATGCTGCCACAGCAGGTTTGGGAACTGGGAGAGTGACCCAGCCAGACAAGTTGTGTTATTCAGTGGCGGGTTTTGTGGCCCAGCTGGAGAAAAACAAAGGAGAGGAGGAACGAGGAATGAGGATCACGGTTTATGTTCTCGTTTTTCTTTTTTTTTCTTTTTTGGCTGAGATTTTTCTTGATGTTGTGTTCAGGATCTCGTGACTGTCTCTGTTTTGTCTTTGGGTATTTCTCTGTCTGTCTGTCTGTCTGTCTGTCTCTCTCTCTCTATCTATCTATCTGTCTGTCTATCTATCTATCTATCTATCTATCTATCTATCTATCTATCTATCTGTCTATCTATTTATCTATCATCTCTATCTCTATCATTATCTATCATCTCTCTATCGTCTCTCTATCTCTATTATCTCTCTCATCATCTCTGTCTCTATCTATCATTATCTATCTGTCTGTCTGTCTGTCTGTCTGTCTGTCTGTCTATCTATCTATCTATCTATCTATCTATCTATCTATCTATCATCTCTATCTCTGTCTATCTATCATTATCTATCATCTCTATCTCTATTATCTCTCTCATCATCTCTGTCTCTATCATTATCTATCTATCTATCTATCTATCTATCTATTCATTTTTCGATATCTATCTATCTATCTGTCTATTTATCTATCATCTCTATCTCTATCATTATCTATCATCTCTCTCTTATCTCTCTCATAATCTCTGTCTCTATCATTATCTATCTATCTGTCTGTCTGTCTATATCCATCTGTCTGTCTATCTATCTATCTATCTATCTATCTATCTATCTATCTATCTATCTATCTATCTATCTATCTATCTATCATCTCTATCTCTGTCTATCATTATCTATCATCTCTATCATCTCTCTATCTCTATTATCTCTCTCATCATCTCTGTCTCTATCATTATCTATCTATCTATCTATCTATCTATCTATCTATCATCTATCTATCTATCTATCTATCTATCTATCTATCTATCTATCTATTCATTTTTCGATCAAGTGGGTCTATAGACAACATACTTTAAATTTCTGGATGAACAGCGTTTCGCTCCAATCCAGCAGATCCTTGCTTAACCTACTATTTTAAATCCCACCCCGCTTTCCAAGGCAGCAAAGAAATATTTGCTGCTTAAAGGCTGCCTGAACTGGGAGAGGTTAATGAAGTCTCCTGGTTTAAGTGCAGTCTACCTGGAGCTGCTGGACTCCAAGGATAATGCAAAGAAAACGTAGAATTGCACTGCTGGGTTGAACTATCAAAGGAAGTCTTTTCTTTTTTCTTAGCGTAAATTTGAAAGATGTATTTTTGGGGTGGGGGCTTTTGACAGCACAGCCTGGCTGTTTCTCTGTCTCTCTCTCCTCCCCCCCTCCGACACTGAATTACTCAAACCTTCCAAATTCATTAACGCAACTGTAAACGTTGAGAAATTCAGGGAGGTGTGAAGCTGGTAATTAATGGGGGGGGGGAAACCAAGCTTGGTGGGAAAATAACATAAATTTCAAAGTTTTTTTTCCTCTAACCCCCCCCCCCCCCATTTCTAATTCCTTTTCTGATGATTTTAATCCCAGGGCAGGAAAGAGGGAGAAATAATTGATGGTAGGTCTTTGACAAACAAGAGATTTTTGCTTTTTTTTTTTCCTTTGCTTTTTTTAAAAATAGGCTCCGTAATTATAAGAAGCTGTGATTTTCAAACACACAAAACAAGCAGAAAGGAACGACAAACACAGACCTTCCTTTCAATAATTCTGTTTTTTTTTTCCTTTTTTCGGCTCCGGGTTGCAAAGACCCTCAAAAAAAAAAAAAAAAAAAGTGCAGGCCCCCAAATTAGGCACTGTGTAGCTTAATGTTTTGCAAAGTTGGCGACTTTTAAGGTGTGTGGACTTCAACTCCCAGAATTCACCCGGCTGGGGAATTCTGGGAATTGAAGTCCACCCATCTTGTAAAAAAATAAATAAAACAAAACACTGGTTTCTTTGGAGAAAAAAAACAAAACAAAACTCTCTTTTTTTTCCCCTTTGGAAAAATTCCACACCTTCCTCTCTTCTTTCTTCCCATCCTCCGGACTCTGAAGGGAGACTGCTCCTGCATAAGGAGGTTCACTGTCCGAGCTGAGATCAGAGGGAAGATCTTATTCTGCTCTCCTGTTTCTTTTAGGGGTGATTTTTTTTGTGTGTGTGTGTATGTGTGTGTCTGCCTCAATTGCCCATGAGCTTGGAGTTTTCCCTTGGCGCAGCCAAGTGGGATGAATTGTGCTTTTGGGGACACACCCTTGAGGATAATGCAATTAATCTGTGTGAGATTGTGGGTGGCAGGGGGGGGGAAAGTGAGTTGCACCCCCCCCCAAATTCCCTCCTTCTTTGCCTGCCAGATGATATGATTAAATAGAACAATAATGAAGACTTTCACATCGGCAAGTGGCATTGATTGATTGAGTCAGTCTTTCATTCCTCATTCCTTCATTCCTATCCTCTTTATTATTGTTATAAATAACTCAAGGAAATAAACGTACCGAATGCTCTTCCTCCTCCTGTTTTCCCCAATCACAACAACCTTGTAAGGTAGGTTGAGCTGAGAGGGAAGGACTAGCCCAAAGTCACCCAACAGAATTTCGTGTCTGAGGTGGGACTAGAACTCACCGTCTCCTGGTGATTGTCCCAAAGTCACCAGGCTGGCTTTCATACCTAAAGCAGAACTAGAACTCACCATCTCCTATAGTGATTAGCCCAAAGTCACTCAGCCGGCTTTCATGTCTAAGGCGGGACTAGAACTCACTGTCTCCTGGTGATTGGCCCAAAGTCACCCAGCTGACTTTCATGC